ACTAAATTCCCTTCCAGCCCTGCCCCCCAGTCAGGGCAGCATTCCACCTTCCTTTGTTCCTCTCCATGGGGGGTGTCTGGCCACTGGTTCAACAAGTTTGGCACTACCTCTGCCTAGCGAGGTTTTCCCTGCTGGGTCTTGCTCCAGACAGCAGGGGTCACCACAGCCCAGCAAGTACCCCCACTACGTCACAGTCACCATCCCATCTAGTGCCACAAAGATGGGGAAATCAGTGCTCATTGCTTTGAGACTGCCCTCATTGCTCAGCTGCAACAGGCCTAATGATCATCCTTCAGCTAAAGCTTTAGTGTGAGGCTCTAGGTCAGGGGTGGGCAAAAGGGCCGCTGCGGGCCAGATCTGGCCCGTCAATTAGGGCCCGGGGGTGGGGGAGCGTGCAAAGCCTCCTCCGGCCCTGCCAGGAGCATGTGGCACTTTGACACGCTGCTCGCAGGGTGGGCGCAGAGTGGAGAAGGCTTCACGCACTCCCCAGGCCCTAATTGGCCTAGGGCAGAGGGACATGAGAAGTCTCCTCCCATGCCAGGGGCATGGGCACCTTGGGGGGGCAAAGGCACTCCCTTACCCCCAGACCAAACATTGTCTGGGGGTGGGAAACCTGGAAGTACCTTGGCCCCGCCCCTTCCTGTGTGGCCCAGGGCCACTTCAAAAATTTCCGAAGTGGCCCCCGGCAAAAAATTATTACCCATCGCTGCTCTAGGTGTTTTGGGAATGGGAGACACACACATCCTTGGGGTTATAGGCTTCAGAATCCCAGTGCCCAACCACTTGCCCTAGCTACCTTTGCATTGGCTTGGCACGACGGGGTCCTCCGACATCGCTTTCATCCACAAGGCATTGGTGACCGTTATTTTCAAGCAGAGTGAGTAGAGTGCTGCCGATCAGTGGCTAATCTTTCTTGAACAAGCTGATGCAGCCTGGGACACTGACAGCTTTAACCTATTCCGAAGAGAACCAGGCATGGAACCAGCCTAGAATGATGTGACCCTTTAGCGGAGTCCTCCGAACAACTACATAAAGGCTCCAACCTGAGCAGATCCCTGAGATCTGCTTCGATGCAGCCAGTGTCCAGATTTGCAGAAATCTGTGTGTCTGCCGCCCAAAAGTATTCTGTGGCTGAGTTAGACCTGAGACAACAGCGGTCTGCCTGCTGTTCTCTTCTTTCTTATCTGGTTGCTGGGACGACTGCTGGAGTTACTGTACTGATTTATGATTCAGATTGGAGGACAACAGAGTACAGAGCTGCAGGGCGCCATGAGTGGCTCAGAACAGGTTGCTGCTGCAGACTGGCTTCAGGTGTAGCTTACCTGAAGGTTTCTGTGGTTTCCAAACTCTGTACCACACAGGCAGAGAAGCATAATCTGTCCCTCTCCTCTACTGTAACTTTGAAAGTGACTTTCTCACCGGTGTTTTCTAATGTCATCTGACCTCCCTCGCTGGTTTCTCATTCTGCCAGATGAGGCCGATGAATGGTTATTTCTCTGCCTCTTTGCTATTTGGGATTTTTTCTTTTCTAGATGAGAAAGAAGAGGAAAAAGCCAAAGAGGAGAAAGCAGAACCCAAAGGGTGAGACCTACTTCTGCCTTATGGATTTTCTCCTCCCTACCCTAGGATGCATTGTGACTTAGGTACCTGGGAGTTGCGCAGGCTGGTTTTCTAGGTGCTCTGTGCAGGTGACTCCTGAATTTCTCTTATCTGTAAATTGTAGAGACTGCCCAAAGCCCCCATTGGGTAAAGCATGTTGAGGTCCTTCGATGAAAGGTACTAGAGAAATGCTTAAAAATATTTTGCAGTGTGTGCACAACGTCATGTGAGTAGTAGTGCATCTGTTAGGACAGGACCTAAGGGCAGGGGTAGAAGTAGACATCAGGACTCCCTGGTGCAGGGCACACTGGTCCTGGTGCCCTTGAGGGGGAGGGAGAGCTCAGGTGGGGCTGGGGCAGACCAACTCTCCACCCCCTTCATGGCTGAAGCAGTGGAAGTCAGGAGCCCCAGGACTCTGGCATTGCTGGGCCCTGGGGCAGCTGCCCCTTTTGCTTCCTCCACTCTCCCTGGTTGGCAGCCAGTGTTTTTAACATGGGGGGCAAAAGGGACATCAAAGTGTTGCTGCAGCAGTGCTAGACCCGACTGGCAGGGCTGCCAACGGGAGCAAAAAGTTGGTTGTGTGAGAGCCAGTCTGGCGGCTGGTTCCTGTTGGTCCACTTTCACCTCTGCCGAAGGGTGCTATTTAGGGATGTGACGAGTTAACCGGTTGCCCAGTAAGCATGCTTGGTCATAATCGCATCCATCTTTGTCTGTTCTCTAACACACACTCTCCGCTCCTGGTTCTGCAGGGTAAAGGAAGAGACTAAATCGGCCTAAGATGACTGCAGCGGGACAGTACCTTTCAGTACATAGTTATATACGTTTTTGCTTCTCTGGTAGCCTCCCATTCCACAGGATTTATATTTTATATGTTTCTGTATATATTTCTATATAAATATATAAATGACTTAAGAACTGTAAATTATTCCTTGCTGCATTCCGCTGAGAACAGATGGAAGGATTCTGAGGAATAGATGGACTCAGAATTAGCGGCAGGGAGGTTTCACTCTTGCCTTCCACTGCCTCTGGTGTGTTTTTAAAAAATCATTTTCCTCTCTCTGAAATAACAGCCCTTTGGAGAATGATACTGACTTTGTTTTTTTTAAGTAGAAATAGTATCTGACTTTCGGGTCAGGTGGAAATATGGCCATGAAACTTTGCGGAAGAACTTTGAGTTCCCAAAGTATGCCTGTGAGAGAAACTGCTCCTATGATCTTCAGTCCATTTACACCATAATCAGTAACTGCAAGCTGATGCCAGTTCTCAGGGTCAAATAATGCAGTTCTTGAATAAAGTTGGCTGTCTACCTGCAGTGGATTTGTGGAAGGAGTTGAAGCAGTTTGGAAGTAAATCTGTCAAGTTCCCTGGTGTATGAACCCAAGTGCCCTGCTGTAAAGTACAGATCTGGATAGCACAAAATGAAAACTGCCAGCTAGCTGATGTTTTATTTAAAACTTTCGCAAGTCGACCCTTTAAGTCAAGTTTGTGCGGCAGCATTATACATCTCATATGAGAGAGAAGGGCTCAGATATTTCTCTTCATATATTAAACCCCCCCAAATGGGGGGGGGGAAATATATTACTTCTCATTGTCCTCCTGCTTAGCTCTTCCTGCTTCCCCCCCCCCACTGTGATGACATAATATGCTTTGAATGCTGCCCCAGGTCCTAGCTTGAAACCACTACAGAAATCCCAAGCCCTCTAAAGACCAAATTGTCAACTGGGCTCTTTGCAATGTGACACTTGCTGAAAATTCTCATCCAATGTGAAGCACAAATGTTTTTAGATAGGCCCTTTCTCCTTGTTGTCCAGGCTGGTAACTGGGGGGAATCCGCTGAACCTGCCATTGTCTTTGTTGTGGGACAGCAGCACTCTCCAGCTGTCTCTTGAGAACAGAACTGGCCTTTACCTTGCATCCCACTCTCAGAACTGAGCATGGGATGAGCTTTCTGTGAAATGCTTCACTGAGTCCTGCTTTCACTTGCTGGTCATCTGTCTCAGGGGGATACCTCTCTCCACCAGAGTATCCGGACCTCCCACTCAGCCCTGCTGAGGATTTCAACTCCACTGTAATGCTGCTAACTTAACACAGGTTATTTTTAAATGTTTTATTTTTTTAAGTACACTTCTCCATCTCTAGTAGCTGACTGCAGCTCCTCCTGCTCTTATATGTTCATGTGAAGTGAGAGATCATTGTGTCTGGGGGGAAATATATTGTGATTTTTTTAAAAGATGCTTTTTATTTTGAAAATCTTTGTAATAAAAGGTACATTTCTACATTGGCGTGAATTGTTCCCTTTGTGGTCAGAGGACATGGGGGGGGGGGGGTCTATTTAAATTTTGTGCTAATCACTAGAAAAACTTCACTGTCTGCAGCTGAAGCATTGCTATTCTGTACCCCATTGGTCCTATATTGAAGCCAATGCATCTATAGCACAACTGAAATCTGTGGTGCTCATGTAATTTAGTGAGCCTTGTATGGGCCTCTTCAGCTGTTCCTTTAATCAATAACTGGGTCTATTTGCAATGGGGTAAACCATGACTTCACCTGGCAAGGCTATTTCTTTTCCCTGCTCCCTTGTAAGCAGCTCACAGCTGTTCTCATGCAGCAGTAGCCTCATGACTAGTGGAGTACACCTGGTTTTTTATTTCCCCTGGGGAAGGGACTAGGTCAAGTCCTTCTCATTGCTTAGAAATTGTTTTAGTCCTTCCTAAAGTTATTTTGAGTCTGCTACTTAATGAAGAGGTAGCTACTGCAGGTAGAATTGGAAGAGAGTGGAAAAATGGTCAGGCATAGGTGTAGTTCAACTGAAGTCTAGGAACATCTCAAACAAAATCAAAGGGTTATTACACTTGACTTAATTCTAGGATTCCTACTTGGTATTGTGTAATGTGCACAGTGAGACAAAGGTTCATGAACTAGTATTTCCCTAGTAGCAGCAACCTATTTCATCAGAAGCCTAGCGCTAATGGACCATAATTCTTTGGACTCCCTTTCATTTATTCCCTTATTTCCAAGGCAGGAGACAGTGACCACAACCCATATTGTGCTGTGAGCATTAGCATTCAAGTCTCCCTCTGATTCAGTAGATCTCAAAATGGCTGCCACAGCTATTCAGTCATGGTTGTTAACCCTCTAGCACATCCTGTGTTCCATGTGTAAGAACAAGACATGTTCTTCAAAATGAGCCCAGCTGGGAAGACACAGCTGCACCCTGTTTCTAGGGGCAAATGCCACCTTCACTTTAATTCTGCTAGACAAGATATGGATAAAATATCAGTGATATTTGCAATGCCAATTTCATCACCCAATCTTATTGCTGATCAAATGTTTGGAATATCCCCTCAGCCTGTGACAAGCTAGAAGCAGCAGCTTGTTTATAAGATCAGTCTAGTTTAGCCTCATAACCCTGATGTAGGGTGGAATATTCCACCCTAATGGGGTTATGGCCATACAGAGATGTTATAGCACACTCCAGCTCATTAGTGCTTACAGGCAGCAGTCCATCTTGAGAGTCCATAACTGTGCATTGCTGTCTTCCCCCTTGACAAATCTGACATTTAGAAATTTTTAGACCCCCCTTTCCCCCCCCCCCCTAAACTTTAGCCTGCATATAATTCTGCAAAGTGAACTTTTAAAAAGTTAAGGTGCATTATTGCTCTAGGTCCTTACAACAAAAGCCTGGCTTCTTATATATGAATGGAGGAGGCTTCACTGCTGTTCAGCCACCTAATCTCTGCCTGAGATCTGACTCTGAAATGTTTACCTCCCTGCCTCATAGGCTCTAAATTAAATTACCAAGTTCTTCTCTCCCACTGATTGGCCAGACCTGTCACAAGTCAAGTAACTACAAGCTTTGTCTATCAATCCAGCTGGTCTGATCACTTTTTAAACCTAGTCCTAAAACAATCAGTAGATGTCATCAAGTACAGGAGCCCTGTCACAGGGACAGGTAAGCTCCCTCTAACCCTAAATACAGTTTAACAAGCTGCACTCCCTCTGCATGGTCAATCCTGTGTTGGCTTAGCTTTAGATGTACTCAAGTGTTACTAGAGTTAGAAATAAAGTACAACAGTAATTTGTGCCCCACCTTCTGGGGCCCTCTGTCAGCATCCCAAAGAGTCAATGTATATACCCCAAAAGGAGTCAATTTATTCCTTTCAAGTGTTACAAGGAAACCCAGACAGTTTTTTAGAAGTTAGAAAATTGCAAGTCAAGGGTTTTGGCCATTAAAAATTATTTACAGAGGAAAAAACTTCACATTATATAGTTTGCATTCTCCCTCCCTCCACCCCACAAAAGTTACCCCATAGAAGTAAAATTAAACACAGCGGACTTACAAGCTTTATGGTTTTAAGCCAATAGTAAGACATTATAAAAAACTAACCAGATTAGCTTTAACTGTTGGTTTCTATAAAAAGCACAAAATACTTTAAATGATGTCAGAACCAGGGATTTAAAATCAAGAAAGAATCTGAACAGTCACTGGCTTATTGGACTTCAGAAAGCTGCTTGGAAGATTAGTGGAGAAGAGGCAGTAGGTCAGCAGAGCACCCAGAGTTTGGTGGAATAGATGGAGCTTGACTAGAATCCAGTTACATCTAGGATCATCTGCCTCCAGTTTTAAAGGATTCCAGCAAACTAGTTCAAAGTTGATGGTGGGAATCCAGACCAGTTTCCTAGCAGTGAGCTGCATGAAGGGGGGAAAAGGAGAGAAATAATTCAGGTGTCTTATTTGGGTGGTGTCAGTTCTACTTTGAACATACAGGTGTGGGCAAGGCAGCAAGTCCATGGTGTTATTGGGATGAAGAGAATGGCACAAAATGTCTTAAGTTATGACCATGTCAGGTGGGCTCTACTCTTCCTTCTGCTCAGCTGCTGCAGGTGTTGTGCTGGTCTCAGGCTCCACAGGTTTTGAGGATTCCTCTGGCTTAGAGGTAGCCTCCTGGCTTTCCCCCAGCTGCTGCTCCTTAGCTTCCCCAGCTTCTGCCTCTTCCCTTTTAGGCTCGGCTTCCTCCTGCCCCTCAGCTGCAGGAGCAGCTGGACTGCTCTCCACTGCAGCAGCTGTCTCCTCAGCTTTCCCTTCCTGCGTGGCATTGGTCTGCTCAGTTTCATTGGTGGAACAGGTAGGGTTCTCCTCAGCTTTGGTTTCTGCTTTGGCCTGGTCATCTGTGGGGGAAGACACAGTGGAATCCCCGGCCTCTTTCTTGTTCTTCCTGAAAGAGAGCCCACTCAGCTTGAAGGGCTTCTTGAAAGAAAACTTCTTCTTCTTCTTGGGGGTCTCCTTGCAGGCTGCTGCCCCATCAGGCTTAGCCTCCCCACCTTCAGCAACTGGAGCTGGTTCGATGGCATCCCCGCTGCCAGCCTCCACCTTGGCCTCCTCTTTGACTGGCTCTGCAGACCCATTGCCATTCAGCGGTGGGACCTCTCCATCAGCCTTTGGCGAGACATCTCCATTTATCTTCACGTGGCCATTCTCCTATTGGAAGAGGGAACGGTTCCATGTTAGATGCCATCACTAGACACTGCTCCCCCTACCCCCATCACTAGACACTGCTCCCCCTACCCCCATCCCACCACCGCTGGCCCCAGGACGGTGTTCTAGCTGGGTAGGATGAAAAGGTGTTTTCACCTACCCACATGAGTTTGGTGGTGGTGGCTATGAAACCCGGATCAGTTTGTTCCAGTGGGCAAGAGGGGGTGCAGACTAAGTTTTTTCAGAATAGTGCTAGTTATTTCGAAATAGTGTTGCAATGTAGATGTACCCTAACTGAATAAACTTAAACAAAAAATAGTCTTGGAGCACCTTAGGAACTAACAAAAAATGGACATGGTATCATGAGCTTTCGTGGGCACAACCTACTTCTTCAGATGAATGGAGTTAAAGAGTCCAGGGGATAAATAAATAGCAGAGAAAGAGAAGAATGGGGAGGGGAAGAGAAGGAAAAAAATGTATTGTCAATTAGAGTGTCCATGATAAATGAGGCTGATAGAGTGGGTACTAAGTAACACACAGAAACTTGTTGGGGAACATTTTAACTTGCCCACACACTCACTAACAGATCTAAAAGTGACAATATTATTACAAGGAGATTTCAAAAACCAGCCGGAGAGAGAAGCTGCAGAACTTGATTTCATTTACAAGTTTGACACCTCCAATAGAGATTTAAACAAAGACCTTAACCAGATATCCCACTACATTCCACACCCCAATGACATAAAAAGCCTAGCACTGGGTACTTAGAGTACTTAGAACCCACTCTATCATTTACCATGGACACTCTAATTGACAATATTTTTTCCCTTCTCTTTTTCCCCTCTCTTTCTCTGCTACTTATGTGTCCCCTGAACTCTCCTTAGCTCCATTCCTCTGAAGAAGTAGGTTGTGCGCACAAAAGCTCATGATACCATCTACATTTCTGAGAGGCTCTAAGGTGCTGCTAGACAATTTGTTGTTTTTTATGTTTATTCTATGTGACAGACCGTTATCAGACTCTGAGCACTTTTTTTAATTCTTTGTGGTAGCAGAAGTAGCATTGGCTGGTATGGGTTTTGAAGGTGGAATTTATTCACCTTGTTTTTGGAAGGCCCACATTATATCAGTGTGTCTGAGTACCTAGCCTGTGTGCACCTCTCTTGCCCACCGTGCCCTACAGTATTAATTCTACCCTTGAATATGTGTGAGTATGGAGGGCTGAATTATGCCAGTCTGTGGCCCTAGACACACCATGATATGGGGCCTGAGTGAGGTTTATGCTGTGATCCCATCCCCCACTCAGGAGGTCATTGGTAGGGACCCGTTTCATGCCTCAGGAGCAACAGCTGGGGGGGGGGGGGGGGGGGTTTTTCTCCCCCAGCCACCAGCCCCTCCCTAGCGATTCCAGGGGGGTTCGCGCCCCCCTCCTCCGAGAGTCCCTTTACACAGCCGGGGGGAAGCAAAAGACGCCCCCAAACTGTAACTCCCCTCCCCAAGCCAGACGAGGCACCCACCTGTCCATTGGATTTGGAGGGAGACCCAGCGGCAGCCTCCGCCGACTTCTCAGCCACCGCCTCTCCTTTGGCTGCCTTGGAGCCCTGGCTTCCCATGCTGGCTGGGGGCGGCTTGTCGAGGGGAGTTAGGCGCGCGCAAGAATTGCTCGGCTCCTACAATCCGGAGCGATGGAGAGAGCCGCTCCCCCCCCAACTGCTGGGAGAGACAGTCCTGGCTGGGGGGGGGGAAGGACAAAAAAAAAAACCCAACCCCCAAGGCACAGATCCCAGGAGCGAGGGAGAGGCGCTCCCCTCGCCCAGCGGCTAGCAAAACCCCAGCCTGGCCTCGGCAGCTCCACGCACGGAACGAGGTAAAGACTGAGAAGAGCTGCCCCTCCCCGCCCGGAGCGCCTGCTAATAAGCGCGCAAAAGCCAGGGGCGTGTCGGGCATTTAAATGCCCGCCCAATGGCAGGCGTGGGGAGGGAACAGCACCCCCCCAGTACAATGGGAGACACACTCAGGCTGGGACAGACGCTTAGTCCCCCTGCAGTGTGTGCAAAGGGGGGGGGTCTAGGATGGGGGTGCCAGGTGGGCGCAGATACGCTGTGAGTGAGGGGAGTCCTCGGTGTGTGTCTGGGGAAATGCAAGAGTTCGCTGTTTCTTGCCAGCCCCTTCTCTGTCCTTGTGTGGAGACTGCTCTTCCACGGGCTTCCTGGCGAGTTGGTTTGTGGCTGCTGCTACACGACTTCACAGCCACACTGGGGAGGCTTTGGTGGGGGCAACCCCGCTTTTGCGCACACAGCCTCCACCCTTAGCCCCTTGCACCCTAACCTTGCAGCTTTCACTGCCCTGTGAAAGTGAAACTGACTAGAAACAAACGTGAAACTGACCCTGTCTGCTTTCACTCTTCAGGGTGAGTCAAAAGTAGAAAGAAACACCGGGGGGGGGAGGGAATGGATTGGATTGGATTGTGACACGGGGTTTAGCTTTGTAGTTAGGCCAACAACTTAAAACGTGCCCTTCTGTCTGCAATTTGCACTGGGTAGTATTAAAAATCCTCCCCCACCTCCTTAGCACCAGCAAGTCATTTTTTTCCATTTCCCCCCCTCCCCCCAACTTTGTGTTGTGCATTTGACAGCCCTTGGTCTCGGTCTCCCTGCTTCTTTGGTTCCCCTTGCCTTGCAATTTGTGTGGGACTTCCATGCAGCACTACAGGAAAAATACTTAGTGAAACAGGAAAATGCCATTGTAAAACCACAACAGTGTCAAGGCGGAAGTAGCACCTGAAATTACACTGAGCTCTTTTTTTTTTACAAATTTGACTAGATTTCAAATTGACATGGTCCCTATAAGCGAGAGAAAGGGTGGGTTTTATAACACAGAGGAGAATTTGCTTTGATAATCATGGAGTTCACATTAATGTCAGCTGGAGTTGTTTGCACTCAGCCTTGTTGGAAATCAGGCCCTTTTGATGTTTATCTGGGCCCTGTCCTTTTGAAAAGATCAATCATGTCATAAGTAGGCCTTGGTTCTGGCTAGTCTTTGCCTATGGTACTCCAGGGACACCAAAGTTTACATGAGCCAGAGAATCGAGTTCTGGGCACCACATTTTAGGAAAGATGTGGATGAAGTGAAAAGGGTCTAGAGAAGAGCAACAAAAATGATCAAAAGTCTAGAAAGCACGGCCTGTGGGGGAAGGCTGAAAGAATTGGGTTTGTTTAGTTTGGAAAAGAGAAGACTGAGGGGACATGAGAGCAGCTTTCAAGTACCTAAAAGGGCGTTACAAGGAGGAGGGAGAAAAATTGTTCTCCTTGGCCTCTGAGCATATGACAAACAGCAGTGGGCTTAAACTGTACCAAGGGAGGCTTAGGTTGGACATTAGGAAAAATGTCCTGCCTGTCCGGGTGGTGAAACACTGGAATAAGTTACCTAGGGTGGTTGTGGAATCTCCATCACTGGACATATTTAAGGGCAGGATAGACAGACACCTGTCAGGGATGATCTACATCGGGGTGGGCAAAAGGGCCTCCGTGGGCTGAATCCGGCCCACCATGCAGGTGGATCCAGCCGGCAGAAGCCCTGTTGCTCCCCTGCCCCAGGCCAATTAGGGCCTGGGAGTGGGGGAGTGTGTGAAGCTTCTCCCCGCCCTGCCAGGAGCATGTGGCAGGGAAGCACAGGAAGTCTCCTTCCATGGGCACTTAGGGGAATGTAGGAGGGGCAAAGGCGCTTCCTCACCCCCAGTCTGGGGGTGGGGAACCTGGAAGTATCTTGGCCCTGCCCCTTCCTGTGCAGCCCGTGGCCACTTCAAACATTTCTGAAGTGGCCCCCAGTCAAAACTTATTGCCCACCCAGACATAGGTAATGAGTATTACATGCTATTTCCTAAATTAATAAAAATCAAGTTGCCTTAAGGGTCCTTTCCAGGTCTATGATTCTGTAGGGACACGTGTAGAGGTGATGAATTGTATGGGCCACATGCCTCCGCTGCTGTAGCCAAGAGCTGGGCTCTAGATGGAGAATGAGCATGTGGCTGTCTAAGGAGACATGCGATCTTCCTCATTCGAGGGATGAACTTGGCTACCGGCTCTCCACGTTGACCTCCCTCCTGCCGGGCCACAGATTGCGCAACAGGGTTCGATCCATGCAGGACTGTGAGCCGGGCACTTCAGGAGCGATTCCCAGGCTGCCCATCTGATTAGCACAGCGCCCGCCGCTAGGTTTTGTGTTTCTCCTGGTGGTGCACATTCGCACAGGCCTCGGAGCACATAAACATTTATTCTGCCCATGGAAGGAAAAGATGAGTGGGAATATTGGCGGGGTCCCTTGTGCTCGCCTGCCCTGCAGTCTTGGGAGTCCGTGGTCGCGAGGCTCCATGCAGAGAGCGAATGCTTGGCTGTCGTTGCCACATGGGCATCTTTGCAGGATTGCAGCAGGCTAGCTCACCCAGCTGTGGGCTGCACAAGGCAGTGTAGGATCAAGGCCAGCATCTAGGAGGGAAAACAATGGGTTGTTGTGTGTGTTTTACCAACAAGGTCATGTTTTGTCTTCCCCCTGCTGGAGCAACATTTCTGTGTTAATTATATTGGGCCATGTTGTCCTTATTGACTCTTGGCTTTCAGTTGATAAAGGCTTTGAATGGCTGCCATGCGACTTCTTTGTCTTCCTGGTCTTTAATCCATATCTACAATCTGGGAGTTGCACAATTGCCCACAAGGGTTGCAAAGGAGCCTCTGAGCATGTGTTCAGAATTAGCCCATGTGGCAAGCCCCCATAACCCGAAGGAGAAGGGTCCAGCGTCTCCTTTGCACGTTTACGGGTGCTATTAGGCTGTTGTTTTTGAAAGTTTTTCCTTTACACGCTGCTGGGGAAACACTGCGATTTTTTGAGTTCAGCATGAAATTTTGTTCTCAAACGAAGAACTTGAGAGCAACTCTTGTGTCCCCCTCCCCCTTTATCTGCTGGGACACAATGAGAAACCAAGGAGGGAATTTGAAGTTACTGATGTTGCTCTTTTATGCTAAAAGCAGGACTCTGAGTCTCCCTGGAGCATGGGTTCCCAAACGGGAGGCATGCCCCCCTGGAGAGGCGAGAAGAAATTCCAGGGGGGGCACAAGGTGACCCAGACCCCCCCTCCCACCCATTAATCCCCCCCAAATGTTGCTGCTATTTTTGTTTTTTGTCCCTGGTCAGTTTCTTTTTTTTTTCCTCAACAAGTTTTGTGGCTATTTTTGGGGGGTGGGGACATGAGGGTTTCTCAAAAATCAAAAAGGGGGCGTGATGCTGAAAAGTTTGGGAACCGCTGCCTTGGAGGTTCTGTGGCTTTGGTCAGTTGTGGTGCAGCCGGCCCTGTTATTAAGCCATAGTTCGTTCATTTCCTTTGGGAGTGGTTGGGACGGCTTTGGAGCAGTGCTCCTGAAAGGGGCCCTGTGGACAGCCTTGGAGACTAGTTGTCTTCTGCTTATATATAACACAGGTACAGCCCAGAGCGCGGAAGCAAAGCCGGCTTCCTCTGGAGCACACCCCTAGGACATCTCTCCCCAGAAGTGGAGTGGAGAGAAGAGATTTCAGTCTTTGGCGTCCCTTCATGCCTTGGTCTTGCTCCCAATGGCAGGGCCAGTGTTTGTGGAGTCGATGGAGACGTCACCGAATAATCATTGGACGCGCCTGTTGCTGCACCTAGATCGCCGGTAAGCGTGACTCATTTCTGACCCTGTTCAGAGTTTCTCCGCTAAAGTGTGTCAACGCTTTGGGTCTCTCCAGACCAGCAGCCTCACCTCGTTGGTGCTGGTGCATTCTGGGAAAATCCCAGGGTTCCTCAGCTACCATGCAAACAGGAGGGTGTTTTTCCCCGGGTGTAGTTTGCTTTCCAATGTCCCCCTTATGCGGAGAGCTGGGAGGCAGGAGGACTGGCCAACCCAGCTAGGCAGGGCTGGATCCCCAGCAAATGAACTGGGTTAGATCCCAATCATAGCGGTTAACGAGAGCCTAGTTCAAAGGCTTGGTCCAAATGCATTCGCCGCATAATTAGGGTCTACCTATGAGCTCTGTTGTTTGAACCGAGCCTCCCCCATGGGTGGGGTCGTTTTGCAGGAGATCAGGGTGGGGAACCTTTATGTTGCCTCAGAGACTGCTGGCCCCTAAAAAATCAGTCGGGGTCTGCACCCAAGTGAGAAGCAAAAAAACCCCCAAACCTCACTGACGTGGGCCCCAACTGAGAAGGAGAAAGACCCTCCCCACATTCCCCTCGAATGCCAGGGGGGCCCAGGCTAGTAGATTTTGTGTGTTCCTGCTCGGCGAGGGGGGCTGGAGCGCTAGCACGGACTCCCCAACGCTGGGGGCTAGCCCTGAGCCTCGGGAGCCAGATCCAGGCAAGCCGGGAACCGCATCCAGTCCCTGGCCCTTAGGTTCCCCACCCCTGTAGTGGATGAATGTTACTTACACATCTAGCACGAGTGGACGTATGTCTTGCACAAACATCGGCCTATATGTCTAAGCGTGGGAAGTTCCTTAGAGAAGGTCTAGGCGGGATTCTGAAAATGCAGCGACAGTCATAGAAAGAAAAGCCAAGGCCAAAGCTGGAAATAGGCACGGAAAAAAACCAAGCGCATCCCCCAAACTCACTGGATTTCCCTGTGCTGGCCAGCGCTCTGCTTTCCCAGTGTTTACAGAGATGAAGGGTCCTACGTGCGGTTTAGTTTAGTCTGCCTTTTGGGGGAATTCACAGATGGCAAATTCCGCTGGCCGAGATCTGGCCGGGCAGGCCAGGCCGCATTGGTGCGACTGCTCGGTGTGTCCAGGGCAGCTTTTGTGGACCAGGTATCCTCTTTATTGCCCCCCCATTCCCGCGTTCCAGTAAACAATCCCCGCCTCCCATATAATAACCCGTCCCTTCCCTAGCAAACA